TCGGGAGTTTGTTCGAAATTTCGAATGTTTAAAAGTGAATCGTCGGCCTGCACGTATTTTACGGGTATATCAAATCGTTTCAGGGGCATGTTTACTAAAAAACGATAAATAAAACTTAGAAATATTGTAAGGACATACTGGCCCCAAAATTGGACAAATTTGCAATAAGTTTACGCTGCTAATGTCTGGTTCGGAAGACGTTCTACGTGTGATTTACTTGCGCTCAAGGATGTTCTATTTTCGAACGAGTTGAAACCGGAAATAACGCAACTACTTCCGAACTTCAAACACAGATGTTATTATCGTTATTATGTGTTAGTTTCTGTTGTTTCAAAAATTGAATTATGTATGACAATAATATTCCACTAAATAAACAAGATTTCACAAAAATATGTGATTAAAAGGCAACCCAAATTGTAAAAAGCAATATCAAGTTCCGCGTATAAACACTGTTGTAAAGAGGCGGCGGAGCGGAATTTTAGCCAAAATCGGCTAGGAAGGCGTCATATGACACAGGTTTGTGCTGGGACAGCGCTTCCGGTGACGACACAACGCCCATGAGACTTTCCGTTTTTAACATGCGTTGTTATCGTCGCTTGGGACTTAATTCCCGCGCGTGCGCAGGTGATGACCCTTCCGCTTTAATCATTCGAGAATCACGACACTTGCCTCAAAACTGCCTCAAAGATTTGTAAACGGAATTCGACAGCAAAGTTGACCTTAACATTTTAATAGTTTGCTGTCGACTTAATGATTGGTAAACAATCGTAAATCTGAATGATTGAGAGCTCACTCGAAGTAAGGAAATGGGGTAGTACACAAATTACGTCACTAATCATTACATTCCATGATTAATTATTCATGATGACAATGTTGATTGGATAAACAACTTGAAGTAAGTAAACTAAAACAAAACTAGAGACAGATATTTATAACAGTTATGGCGTTGAAAATAATTTAGCTAGGGCTTAGTTTAGAAAATAATTATTTTGAAATTCAAGATAAATCACTGACGGAAAAGCCTCTGTGAAATAACATTGTCAACTCTTGTAATCATGACAATAGGATGACGATATGGAAGACTTACTGATCATATACACTGCAATCCCGCACATCAAAGCGAAAGTGACTAGTACAACAGAGGCACCAAATATCCAAGTATTTGGAAACCGACAGCGGGATTTCTTTCTACTCGATGGTAATTGGCCCTCTTTCGCGTGTAAGACCTGCGAAAATTTTCGTGTCTTGATGTCCCCGTCTGGTGTAGCGTACTGGTAAATAGGGTCAGTTGAGCTTGCAGACCGTCCGCTACCCGATGAAAGATCAGAGTCTTGGGAAATCGTATCGTAAGCTGCGTTGTCCATTGAATTATCCTGTAACAAAATTAGGTAAAAACGTAAAATATACCTTGCTAACTTCAATGAATGAAAAATCTAATAGTGCTCTCTCTCTCTATCAGTCAGGTAGTCCCTTGAGGCGCTTGTCGCACTTCTACCACGAGGTAACCATCCAGTTGCGGATCTAGGGGGTGGGTTCTTGGGGTTCCCCCCCCCCCGTTGAAAAAATGATTCAATTTGTTTTTGTATAATATAAAAAAATCAGTAACTTCGTCTGGCGATTTTAAAGCTACACAATGTATATTGTATTGTAAATACTGCGTTCAGACACAG